TCGTTCCGCGAGAATTCCGCGAGCACGGTCACGAATCCGCGTATCCGGTGCGCTCGCGCGTTTCCAGCGAGGGGTGTAGAGGATGAATTTTTCCGCTCGCGTGAAATGGAGCGAGTTCGCGGGAAACATATGGACGGGGGCAATTGGAACGCGGATCCGCGGCACGGCCGTGTGTGCCCCGTGTATCCTGTAGCATCGTCCTGGTGGTAATAGCCAGGTAAGTGTCCAGCTCACGCATGCTGCGCGGCCTATGCGTGCGCGCTGGCTACGTGCGTGATGCTCGCGTCCGAGGGTGTCGATCGAGACAGCGCGGAACTAACCGATCTGCGACTTTTCCTTGAAAATCCCCGGCAAAGGCCTTCTTTCATCCTCGAGATGGGAATTTAAAAAGAATTTAATTTGTCATCGGCGTAGCAGCTATTGGGAACGCGGGGACGTGCGTGGTTCGGGCGGCCTGGCGAGAAGAAGCGTTGGAAACGATTCCCAAGGCAAGGCGACATATGCACGCGAGTAGCAGCGAGAGACAAAGCGATCGGAGGCGAGTCGGGGCGAGTCGAGGCGAGTTGGAGCTCTGGTACGGAGCGCGTAAGTGTGCGTAAACGCGCGTAATAGGCAGGGAGGGGCACAGCAGCTGGCGTCAGAGTGACAAGATCTAAAATTAGAGTGCTCGCGTTGCGTGTCGATCGTCGCATGCGCTTATCATACGCCCCCTTCCGGCTTCGCCTTATTTTCATAACTTCTTTCGATTCTTTCCTCTGCCTCCCATCGCGCGTCTCTCTCTGCTCCCTCGATCCCTCGTGTCTCCTCGCTCGCTTTCGCCACTGCAGCTTTCTCTCTCTCTTTCTTCCTCCCCCGTCTGGTATCACCGTTTCCCTCTCTCTCTCTTTCTCCCTTTCTCTCCCTGTCCGATCGCTGCTCCCGTTTCTTTTCTTTTCTCGTCTTTTCCGTTCGAGAACACGCGGTCCCTGTGCCCGGAGAAACCGTGAGAAGGAGATCGATGATGGAAGGGCCCCGAGGATAGACCGCGAACTCGTCGGCGATGAATTGTTCGCGGTGGCGCGCGAAACCGAGGAATTTTGTCGGGCTGAAAGGGATGCGAGCATATCTTGTCGGGTCAGGGGGTGGCAAGAGGTGGTCAGGTGTTGCGAGACGAGTAATCGTACCACGAGTGGTGTACTCGCACGCACGCGTACGCGTCCGCTGGAAAGCGCTGCTGTGCGAGAGGCTGCAGTCACGAAATCGCTCCTCTCGGCCCGATTATTATTTACCGATTCGAAATACCGCCGAAATACCGTATCTTCTTCAACATAACCGCAGCTCGAGTACCGTTCGATACTCGCGCGTGGTTCTTTGCTCGTGGCCGGGAAAAACTCGGATACGGAACAGGTAAATCGCTGGTTGCTGCTCGAATAGTATCGTCCGGACCTTTGCCTTTTTATTTCCTTCCTCCTACACGCGAAAGTTAGCTATAAATCGATGAGACATCCGCGTCGGACGAAGCACCTCGCGTCGCCGACAGAAACTAAGCGGGCATAGGAGTGGAAACTAATGACCGTGGCGCGTGTGTCCACCTGTAATTTAACATAAGTACGAACCCGTAGGTCGTTGCAACCGCGGCCGTTTGCGCGCGTTGCACAGATAAGTGCAGGCTACGTACTTTATGCAACCGCCCACGTCGTTTCGTGCGCGAGGCAAAAAATATCCGGAGGATTTAGGAGCGTCACGGTGTGGACGTCGCCAGGCGTTTTCCCTGGTCGCCGCGGCGTGGAAAAGCGATGGAAATTTCTGCTGCCCGTTGTTCCCGCCATTCCGCACGCTCCTGCTCGCGTAAATGCTTCGCACGTAATTCTCGCGGCAACATAGACGCCGTTGCGTTCCGCGCGTTTACGGGGATGGCCGCGGCGCGGCGCGGCGGTGAATTTTAAACATGGCTGACCCGACCCACCCTGCGCGAGATACTCGAAATACGCGAAATGCGGGAAACGCGTCGCGACCGCTCCACTTTTCGACGCAAGGCACTCGCAGAGGTATCACGGCAGATCGCCTGTCTCGTCGCGAGAGCGGCGTACTTGGCTTCCTCGGCCAAGTGCGCAATCCGGGGGCAATTTAGAGATGTCTCGATAGAGGGTAATTGCTATTCCGTGGGAGCCGAAGAAACGGTGAAATTATAGCCGTGTCTAGCATCGCGGCGACGTGCGATTCGGCTCGAGCGTGTGTGTACCGGCTGGGACGGTGTATCTTTACGCGTCGATGAGATCCGACGCTAACGACCATGCCACGAAAGAAAAGTCCGACCTGTAGACAAACACACCGGGCGACCTGCGAGGAAATAGATGCACGCCGTCTGCCTATTATCCTTTTATCGGCCAGATCCGCGGGTTAATTAAGGATGCACTTATTCCGCCCTGGCGGAAGCTCTTCCCACTTTCGAAAGGAGTGCAAACAAGAGCAGAAGCCGCTTATCGGCTTTCGATCGCACGCACCGAGCTCCTAAAACGTATCGCTTTATTCGATTGCCGTCGTTCGTGTCTCATTGTTTCCTCGCTTTCCGCCTTTCCAGCCTGTGCCCGGCTGAACACCGGTCCAAGAGGAGGCGGTTTTTATCGGCGATCGACGTCTCCTCGCGAGGACAGACGCCGAACCGCCGCGGCTGTCCCCGATTTCACGTTACGCAGAAAGTTCGTCTGGAGCGCGCGCGAGCGGGCCTGCGACGACGTCTCGCTTCCTGCCGGGTGCAGCTGCCGTGAAATCGCGGATCACGGCCGCGGTGTGAAATCGCCGCTGTCCCCTTCAGCCTGCTCTCCTTTCGTACGGATTTCAGCCGGCGCGCCGGTTCGATCCGCGATCCACGTGCCCGCTTTTTACGCCTGCGCCCGTTTCTTTTTCTCGCCGCGACTCTCTCGCGCCATGCCATCGCATCGGTAAGACGCGACCGCTCGACCTGCCCGATTCCTCCTCGAGCGAAGGAAAAACGCGCGCGATCGCGTTCCTCGTACGCTCGAATTTGTTCCCTCGTTAACGAGTCGCCGACGCGAGATCCATACCGATCGTACGCGCGCACGATTGCTTATAAACGGACTGTAGATAAGCACGGTGCAAATATCTGTATATTTAGGTAAACGAGACAAACGAGGCAAACTGGTGAAATTATTCATTACTCTGTCAGTTTTCTAGCTACCATTTTCTACGTTACACACTCTTCCTCGTGCCTACTGTTTGACAAATGCGTGTTCCCGTGATAACTTTTATTTTGCCCATTGCGTACATACTTTCTCCTCCTCTGTTTTCCGATTCTTTTAATGCGTTGTTTGAACTTTTAGCTAGTAATGATACGAATAATAGCTAGTCGGTATCGTTGAAACTTTGCACGATACGCGCTTACGTATTCAACTTTCGTTTTGCATCGAACTGTCGTCTTCCTTTTTCGCGTTCTCGCTGAAGATGACATTTCGCGCGGTGTTATATAGTCGTCGTATAATCGTCGTATAGTCGTCGTATAGTCGTCGTATAGTCGCATAATCGCATAGTCGTATAGTAGGGTGGCTTGGGATGCGTAATAAAGTTGGTTGGCGAAACGAAAGGCGAGTAACGGTAACACAATGGGTCGAAGAAGATTTATACGTGGTACACACGTGCCTGTGAGCGGCGCATCAAGCGGGCAATCGTGTCCTTTTTGCTCGCGATCCACGCAATCTCCCCGAGTATAAACGCACGCGGGGACCACGTACGTCGAGGAATGCGAAGCAAGCAGTGCAAAAGGGCGGTACATCTGCGCCGACCAGCGAAAAGACGGGCGCGTGTATTTAGCGGTGTGCAGGTTGGTCGTGCACCGGGTTAAAAGGAGGGTGCATATCGCGAGATAGGATCGGACGCGGTAGCCGAGTACGACCGGCTGGTCGAGATAACCATCGAACCAAACGAAGCTGGCCAACCCCTTTCGGCTGACTTTTCAGCCACCTTGCAACGATTCGGATATCGCGACTGATCTATCTCTCCCTCGCATTTCGGCCCACTTTATATCGTATACATACATGCGAATGGGCCCCGACGATATATCGCCATCTGTGGCTCATTAGCTTAAGCGGTACAAACCGAGTAGCGTGGTCTCTCGCCTCGCTTCGTTGCGCCTTACCACGCGGACTCCGCACAGTCCGCTCGACTCCGCTCGACTCCACTCGCCTCGCCTCGCCTATCACCGCTTAACGGCCATTATACGGATTATTACCTTACTTCTCGAGTGGAAAACCGCCAACTGACGCCGTCCTGAACCTAGAAACCGAATTTTTTTACGGCACATAGTTGCTCGCCACCTTCCGGCTATCTAGCCAACTATCGAAACCATCCGTGCCTCGCGGCCAATCGTCACGCCTCTCGTTAAACTTTACCGCGACACGGGGTTCGGTTAAACATGGCGCCCGCCTAATCTGCTTGATCGATTTCGCCAATTTCGACCGATGACGGAGTTTGTTTCGGACTCGCGTACGGTGGTCTCGAACAATTACACGAGCATCTGTGAGTTTTAAGTCGTATTTGTCGAACGGATTAGTGTCGGATAATAAGACGCTGACGCAAACTGTGACTGCGAGCTGCACGTGCATGGAACGACAAAAATTCTGACGTTCTAATAGCCTGACAGGCTAATGCGTGCGTATACGAGATGCGTCGTTCCGCGAATCTTATTAGCGATGCGCGCGCATCTTAATCAGTCTCGGAATGTCGCGACACGCAGCACGCGGTTTCGTCCACTCGCGACCATGTGACTCGGATTAACGTTCGATCTGCCCGTCGATAATATGTCGAATTTCGCTGACCTGCGTATTCGCTTACGCGAGTGGAAACCTTCGTTAGGAAAGTTATAGGAACCCAACGTTTCTCAGGTAAACAGCTCGTCGACGAACTCGCCGGCGTTTCTCATGTAAACATTTCGACGACGAACTCGCCGGCGTGTCTCGTATAAGCATTTCAACGCCCGACTCGCTCACGAACGGACATCAGTGTGACGACGGCGTTCGTATAACACACCTCGTGTGCGAATTTTCGAGAATATGCTGGTTGCTTCGAAAAACAGGTAATTCTTTTTGTCTATCGTATGTTTGAACGATCGTAAGCAGGAATATACCATAGCCGAGTAATCTTTCCTCGTGGAATGGTATATATACGTGGTATATCTAGTAATCGCTCGATTGTGTGTCTATCGTATGTTTGAACGATCGTAAGCAGGAATATACCATAGCCGAGTAATCTTTCCTCGTGCAATGGTATATATACGTGGTATATCTAGTAATCGCTCGATTGTCCCCTAGATGGCAGTGCGTCCCGCGACAAGCGAATCTGCTCGGACGACAACGTGGCGCGATCAGTGTGGTAAATTCTTCGATATCGATAGAAACAGTGCGTGACAGTCGAAAATACGATTCACGAAGATGACTTCGACGACGACCGGTCTGCATGGCCGCCACCCACGCTGGCAGGAACACGAACGAACAGGTAGGTAATACACGGTGTACGGTGGCACGACAATGGTCGCGTCGTTGTCACAATGACAAGAAGGGAACCGGTATTGAAAGGCAAATGAGAGGCAGCGCTACTCTTCCTCGCCTTTTAGTTCATCTCCTTTCTGTCGCGCACCCACATCCGCTGCCTTTCAAGTAGCACCCCAAAACACACCTTACGCAAATTAATGTCGCATGCTAACAGGGCCCCGGTTCGAATGACCGGGACAACCAAGTGCCTAAGGACAGTTGGCTCGTCATCGTCTTTAATAATGATTCATCGCCATACGGCGCGACTAATTGTTTACCGGTCGTTCACAAGCAGCTTCTTCACCGTGAACGTTTCTTCTGTCGTCGATACGGCCACGCATGCATATGTATTCTCACGTGGCTTTCTCTTTTGTTTTCTTTCCGTTCCACTGCTATTTTACGACTCGTTTTCTTCTTCGATTCGATCCCGGGTTTCCTGTTTGTTTTCCTTCTGTTCACGATCCGTCCCTTATTTTCTAGCTCGCTTCTCAGTGTCACACGAATCGAGACGTTTCTCCGGAATATTCGAAAAGCATTCCAAGCTTCATCGTGCTTGCTAGATTTAGCTGTCGTGCTTGTTACACATTCGTCGATTAAAATTCCTTCCGTATCTATTTTATAACCTGAAAATTATTTGTCGTCGGTATTGCAGCGACTCTCGATATAAATCGAGCAATAATCGGAATCACTGGAACGAAATCGCGTGCAGAGTAACTGCATTGCCAACAGCGCGGACTTGCCTCGCCATCTGCCGGTAGTCGCATCGATGCAATTTTTACTCGAACGTTTCGTATCGAAATTAACGTATCGATGTATTTAGATATACGTAGCGTGGAATAAATTTTACGCGTAATTTAACAAATCTTCAATTGTATCCGGCTTTATTTCAATTTGTATCTCGTACAGTACTTTACGCGTTTTTCGTTCTTACATTTGGCAGAGTTTACCGACGGTAGTTAGCCAAATTCGCAGGTGGGAGATCGCGACCTTATCGACAGTGGAAAATTATTCTCCGTCGGAATAATATTATTGGCAAACCATCAATAACGATCGATCCGTTACACCTTTGGACCACGTAGGCAGGAAAATGGTGTCGAAATAAAGACGAAAATAATCTCGGCATGCATGGAACCCGTAAACGGCTTCAAAGGAGAACCCGGATGCAATGTTACATCTAGATAACTTTTATTAACCAATATAATCGTATATCGTTACAAATGATGGCGGCACGACGCGGTGCCGCCCCAACGGATTACAATGAAACGGCGTGTTAACGTTATACAATCAAAATGGGAATCGACGAATGAGCGAATTTACGAATGCTTACGGTCGTATCGTCGCTACTCGACTCGAAGAAACTGCGTACACGACAACATGTAATTTGTAGAAGTTTTATCCTTGTGTGTTGCGTGTCGAAACGTTACTCTAATCCCATTGTTTGCGTGAAATCTTCCGTTCGCCAGCTCCTCGATTATTCTATCTGACAGAGTGGTGAGTATGTCGGTTGTGCGCGCGTATTGTGTACGTGTACAAACTGTAATTATGCTCGAAGACATCGAAAACTCACTACGTAATGTTAAATGACGACGCGTCGCGGATTTGCCAGCGAGTTCGCGCCCTCGCGGCGCTTTCCTCTTCATCGTCACGGCAAATAATTGCACCCTAATTATCCCGCAATTCGCTTGGTAATTCGCTTAGGTAATTCGCATGGTAATTCGCTCGGTAATTTCGCCGCGCGCTCGATCCGGCCGCCATTATGGTACTCGAATCGAGGCTTCGCGTGTCCGCCGCGAGTTCCACCGGTTTCCGGCAAATCCGCCACTCGTTGGTTAGGCTTACGGCTACTATCGAGATACTGATGTACATACACAAGAACCATGATCCTCCTGTTCTCTACAACACGGCCAGAGTATACAAAGACGTTGTTTGCCGAATAAAAACGTGTCGCACGCGCACCGTTGCCTCAGTCACTCGCGCAAACGCACTCCTCACGCACTCGGACACGCACTCTCGAGAAACGTTGCAAGGGTATTGGCTTTCGTGTATTTTCCTTCGACAGTAGGGCCTCGATCCACCTGGCTCTAGGTTATCCGATTTATCGATCCTCGATCCGCGTTCCTTGTAAATACGTGCACGTAGAACGAGAAAAGTATTCGCACACCCGGTATATCACGAGGAAGTTCATTTTACCAGAAATTTCGTAATACTCTAATACGTAGAGCATAATCGGATCTACATGGTGCAATTCTTTTACGGGCAGGAAGTCTTTTTAAGGGACCCAAACGGGCCCTCGAAGTCTCGGAAGCTTTACATGCTCGAATCATAGTCTTTTCTCGGATTTTTTTTTGCAAATAGAGCGATAGAGCATGAGAAGTTAAACATTTCTAGTATAAAAAGGTGCGCTGTATATTATACTGTTATAAAATTCAGTTCGTTTGCTTATAGCATAGGTGTTCAACTCGTGGTCCAATATTATATGTAAAATGTCAAATGGATGTATGAAACAGTGTCAAACTAATTCCACGTTGCTATCTTCATAATAAAAAGTCACGAATTAATAAAGTTTCAATTATTCGAGTATGTTAGCTATATATTTTATGGTCTTTTGATGCTCATCGTTAGTGTTAGGGTATATTTAGTGTAGCTTAAAACAACTCGCCTGCTTTCACTGTGACTCAGGGGTGCGGCTAAAAAGTTGAACACCCCTGGTTTAGAGTGGTGTCGCACTGAAAAAACGATTATTTCGTGTAAAATCCATTACCACGTACCTAAATTCCTAAAATTTAATATTCGTAAGAATTTCCTCGCGATATATCGCGCATGCGATACTCTTCGTGCCCACTGTGCATAGATTTTCGGAATAATGATTACCACATTGGAGGAAATTTACTTCCAGGGATAAAAGCTTCAACTTTTGCGGGAAACGTGTTTTCTGTTCTCTTCCGGAACTCGGGCTCCGGTTTATCCGGTTGGTGAGCCGGTTAATCGAGGTCTTACCGCGTATCTTCGCTCGTTTTCCGTTTTCTGCTCGAAAATCGCCAGGCTATTGTTTTCTGCTCTCTTTGTAACGGCCTCTTGCTCGTGTTCGCCATCTTGTCCATCCTTTCCCGTCTCTGTTGCCGCTTTCCTCGGCTTTGGTTGGTCCTGTGTGGCAGTGCCTCGTTAACTAAGGTTCCCGTGTCAACGTCACGGTGATTTCTTCTCGTCCCCGTGGACTCGCAACCCCTTTTCTTCCTTTCTCGATCCGATACCTGCCGATCCCCGCGCAGAGCTTTGGCGAAAAGCTTCGGCGTTAAAGCCTCGGGACTCGAGCGGAGGAAAGATCGAACGAACGCTTGCCTTTCCGTTCTCGGATCGTCGAAATCGCGCAAGATGGCGATTTGGTTTCTCTCGCGGTTGAAACGAGGGAGTCGAGGGCAAGGGGGTGCGAATCGCTGCTGGATCGACGCCGATGGGAAATGTCGATCCTCTGGTCGGAAATCGGTCGACGACGAAACTAACGAGTGTTTCAGCTTTGAACTTTCAGGGAGAGGTTTGATGAGGTTGAATCACAATTTAAGGGAAACAGTCGCGGCACCCCCTTTCTATCGAAAGCGCCTCGAGAACTGAAGAACTCGCAACGCAATTGCTCTTTCGTTTCACAGACACTCTGCTTCGCGCGATAATAAATTATCGCGTTATCGTTATTTATATTATAATATCGCACGCGGCACTCTGTTCGCACATCGAAGTCAATAAAAGATCTCCATAATCGTATTTATATTTATATATATATATATCTATCTATATATATATATATATATAATATATTTTTTAATTTTTTTTCATATTTATATCGTATTACCTTTTTAATAATGTCGTCTCGGATTACAATTATGTATAATTAATCTTTATGTATAATTAGTGTCACAACTTCGTCCCTCTCGTTTCCTCTTATCCTCACACCCATCTATCTTTCTCACTCGCTCTCTCGTTCTCACTCTCTCTCTCTTTGTTCCTCTTTCACCTATACATACGTCTAAGAATTAAAATATTTAGACTCGAATAACTAGGTACGTACTTCGACCAGGGAGACTTCCGGTTGGGGAGGAGGGGTTGGATTTCTTTCCATCTTTCTTCTCGGTTTCACGGGATCCGTGGAGGGATTTTCTCAATGTATAACGACTATGTAAACACACGTATTCTCTCTGCTTGCTCGACCATTGCTCTACGATGCATATCCATAGCGAATCGAACGCGAAAGGTCCACCTGTCTTCTCTCGAGCTCTCGAGATAGCTTCGAGAACGCTAATCGACGATGATAATCGATGATAATCGATGGTAATCAATGGTAACCTCCCCTCGTCGGTGGTATGCGTGGCTGTCTCTGTGTGTGTGTGTATGCGTGTTCGTGTGTAGGATTCACTACCAGTGTACCATGCTACAATTTCGTCGTCGTATAATCTTCCCTTACACGTCCATCTTGAAACCACGTCTACGATATTTCGTTACTCATAATCTCTTAATCTCGCGATAAAATCTACATCCGTGGTTCGTCATCGTCTCCGCTCCGCCGCGGCGCGAACACGTCCGCGTGTAGCGCGAAGCGGAGGACGAAAAATGAGAAAAAGGGGAAAGAAAATGGAAATACTCTCTACTCTTTATACACGATTCTTCCTTCTCCGCATTCTCCGCCATCGTCGTCGCCATCCTCGTCCTATTCTCTTCCATTTATACACGAACGTCGTTCGTCTGCGACTCGAGTACATCGATATCGTGGGAACGCTTTGTACGGAGCGTGAACGTCGAAAGGGTGTGTGTGTGTGTGTGTCGATAAAAGATTCTAAAAGTTAGAAAGAATTTTGTACTTTGCAGCACGCAACGAGAAAGAACGTCGGAATTGTTTTGGCGCGTCTTCTCCGTCCGGTTGTTTGATTTGCTGTTTGTCGATCGGTCGGCAAACGAGCGGACAAGCGTGGTCCTTTGCCGAGGGAACGGCGAGTCCTTGTGCTCGCGTGAACAAAACATATCGTTCGCGAGACCAAAAAGCGTCGTATCATCTTGCTTGAACGCGGCGCAACGGAATTACCCTGTTCCTGCATCGAGTCTCTTCTCCGATTTTCCCGCCAGCTCGCACCGTCTTTCATCCCTCTTGCGCTTTCCTCGCGAGAAAGAGATCGCACGGGCTCTATTCGCCTATCAACTATCGTGGGCCATGCTAACGGAGAGTGTACTCGATCAGCTAATATGAGGTGACTTCCTCGAGAAGATCCTTCGCTCTTCGTGTCCCCTCGGTTTCTCCGCGAGTCCCCGCCATCTTGGTCACGTGGTGCCGAACGGGTCCACGGTGCACCGCGATTCCAAGATGTCGGACGACGCAGACCCAGAGCGGTCGAAGAGCGAAACAAACCCTCGAATGCTCTCGATGCACGATGGGGCGAAGGTACATATATAATATATAAAAGTAGAAAATTTGACGGCAGTATATAGAGATCGTAAAAGGTGCGAAACGCGGTGAAAGGAAATGGGCCCTATTTCGTGAAATGGCATTGCACGTACTCGGTGCTGGTTCTGTACTTTTGTCTCTCTATAGCTCTTTTTGTGCTTTACGTCGTGGCGAATACGATCGTTTAATTCTCTGCTCTGTCCCTATTTTCGAAATTTCGTCAACTCGGCGGTTATCGATCAACCTGTTTCCTCCTGATCCGTGCTCTCTCGTCTGGCTATACCGATCAAGGAAGCAACGTCCAAGCCGTTTTATGCTAAGAGAACCGAGGATAAAATACATAACGCGCGTAAAAAAATAAAACGACGCTTCGCGATCCTCTGCAGGGACTTTCCACGCGAAGTTCCGACCTCGAGGACGCAGCATCCACACCTGCGCCTTCCACTTTGGCCCTCGACCTTTGTTAAATCGTCGATCGAGTTCCCCGTTCTTTCCTCGATGAGGACCGTAAAAGCAACGTCTTCGTTGTCGCCCCCTGTTCCGCGCTTCATCCTCGACCGTTCTTGCCGAGAACGGCCTAGAAGGAGGCCCCAAGCTGCCCCGATTTCTCCAGCGATCCACGAACGCCCCAAGATATGTCCAATTATCATCGACCAGCTTCTCCGAGTCTCCCCTTACCTGCAGCTGATAATCCCATCCCTTCCGTCCCAGTCTTCGAGCCGGGATCTCGATCGACTCGGGGGAACATCGGGCGAAGGAGGTCGAGATGGATCGTGCAGCCGGGAATGGAATGTTCGAGTCGTCGAAAGGCAACCTGGACCTCGTGGTTCACCGTTCTTCGATCTATCCCTCGATTCTGTCCGCGAACGACGATCACTCCGGGCCACTGATCCCAAAGAGCGGCCTCTTCGTCTAGTCGAGACGCGCCTTGTAGCTGGTCTTCCATATCTCCGCGAACGTGACCGCGCTATGGAACCTGTGGAAGATGCAGAGCGGCAGGGTGACCCTCTGCACGATGGCCCAGGCGAGGAACCCGTAGAAATCGAGCTGCACCGGGTTCGCCATCACCTTCTGCGACTCGAACGTGTAGATCACCCACATGGTCAAATTGCAGATTAGCAGGAAGGTGACCACCTGTCGGCCAGGCTTGCTACGGTCGTGCTCGGGCAGGTGGACCCGTCTGCGGGACACGTCCGCTATGAAGAGCATCTGAAGGATCACCTGTGCGACTGACAGGAGACCGGTCAGCATCACCAGAAGGTTCGGCTCGTGAGTGAACGCCGCCAAGGAGCCAGCGATCACGCTGAACACCGAGTAGACGTACAAACCGAAGCCGGACACGCGCAGGAGAATGTCGTTCAACACGCTCTGCTCTTCGGCTTTGAATTTCAAGCTCTGCACACGTATGAATCCCACGATTATGGCCACGATCGAGAGTACCATCAGCACGCAGTGAGACACGCCTGCTAGGTAAATGGCGACCAGACCAAAGTCCGGATGATGGATCAGCACGAAGAACAGGATCAGGCAGATCAGCGAGCCGACCAGTAGCAACAGGCCGAAGAACAATCCTTTGCTCGCTCCCACGCAGTCCACCCTCGTGTGACCTGTTTCAGCGTTCAGACCGTCGTCTTGAGCGTTTATTGGATTACAATTACGCCAATCGTAAAGTTACTCGAAGAGCAAGGTAGATAGTTGAAAATGAGAGAAGAAGGATCGTTACCTGCGTGAGCCAAGGCGACAGCCCTTCGAGACAGCATAGCCTCTAGACGGCGCTCTAGGTCGGCTTCGACTTGATGAGGCCAACGAGGATGTCGTCCAATGTGTTTCCACATTACATAGATCACAGCAGCGCTGATCAGACTGTACTCGATGATGAACGGGAACAGGTACGGTTCTGCGTCTTGCACTATGGTCCCCATGATATTCACTCGACCGCAAGAATTCGATGCCATCTCCTCGTCCGTCAGCGCCTCCGCGTAGGCTCCGTAGTTCGGGCTCCAGTATTCGCTGCTGTTCGTCTGATTTCTCGGGTTGAAGAATTGGTGTACCTGTTTGGTGACGAATGGTCGGTTAGTTGGTCATGGTTACCGTCAGAGGTGTCCTCGGACGAATTTCGTTACCTCCTCTTTGGTATCAGCCTGAGGTGCATCGATGAGGTCCATGAAGAAAGACGAGAATGTCGTGGACGTGGTAGGGGTAGTGGTGGTGGTGGAGGTGGTGGTGGCGGTCGTAGTGGTCGTAGTTGGAGTAGTCGGGTTGGTCCTTTCGTCGGCAGTAGCGTTCGATGTGAGCGTAGTGAGGAACGTGGACAAAGTGTTGGCAGTGGTCGTAGTCAAACTAGGCTGAGAGGCTGAGGTGGAAGTAGTCGTGGTGGTCGGAGGGTTCCAACCGGAAGTACTGGCCGATGCCGGTGTGGTGACAGCATTCGCGATCGCATTCGCCGTGGTCTTCATCACTCGACCCAACGAGGCTGCTACCGTGGCGACCGACGAGAAAACGGTCGACGACCTCGTGGCGGTTAATGGCGCCTCTCGCAACAGGGCCACGTCTCGTGGCGCTGTTCCCAATATGGCTCCCGCGTTTCGCATCGAGTGCTGCTTAATGCTCTCTAAACGCGTTCATTTGCGACATTAGCGAGCTTCCACGAGCACAGTTCCTTTTTTAAGATAGAATTTACCGAGAATGCCTGCTTCGAACTGGCCCATTTTCTGATGGTGCTTCGTGATCTCCTTGATGCTCTCCAACACCAGAGTGCGAATCCAGACGCAGAGATTGGTGGCCATCACGTGCATCAGGCCGAAACGCGCGATCACTTTGAAGCGATGAATGTTCAGCTAGGAAAAGGAATAGTCAATCTTCGAATCGAAAGTCATTGAGAGAAGGAATTAAAAGACTATTATTTTCCATACTTGGCTACCTACCCTCGAGTTCATGAAGATGAAGTACATCTGCATGAACGTGAAAATCATTTGAAGAACCGGATTCACTCCTTGAAGGATCTGATAGCACGGTGACGTAGGCGGCACCTCGAAGAAGGTGCCGAATTCTAAGCCATTGTAGACCATCGTGCCCAATCCGAAAGCTGAGAAGGAACGAGTTAAAATTCGTATCTCGAGATAACGCGAATTAAAATCTGCACTCGAACTCGTCTCACCGATCGTTCCAATCCTGAGGAAGAAGCTTCCATGACTCTGGTCGTTCTGCGAAGTCTTCCGCTTTCGTAGAGCCCTAGTGGCCACCCCAGCCTCGACGTCAGCGGCATCCTAAATCAATTTTCCTCTTCTCAAATTGCTAGTCAAATTATCGGTTAACCTTATTCCACTAACAGCGTATTCTCTAGACTAGAATGAACTTTGCAACTGCCACCCGGTGACCGAAAAGGGCAGCAATCTTTGACGAGGATGGAACTGCCGAGTTTCAGTTTAGGAGTGGATTCACGCGATAATGAATGGGTGAACCGTAGCACGTGCCTTCTGGTAGAAGCTCGATGAAGACGGGTAACCCACTTACGTCAGCATCGAAAGTGTCTCTTTTAAAATCGCGCCATCGGCTCGATACCGTGGTTTCACTGTGGCGAAACAGCGTCCACGAAAGCTATTCGAGTCAACGGAATTGGTCACGGTCCGTTCCCTGTCTCTAGCCGCTATTTCGAACCTATTTCGAATATTCCCGTTCACTCGACGTACCCTATCCCATCGATTCTCTCGAAACCCAAGACCCCCTACGCTCCACCTAAAGCGAAAGATTCTCGTAACCTGACCTGATACTCTTTCTTGCTTTTCGACGACTTCTGCTCCTTGTCCTTCTTGTCTTTCTTCTTGTTCTTCTCCTTCGGCTCCTTGGGTGGTTTCGGTGGCCTCGGAGGCGGCGGTGGCGTGTCGCTACCCCTCGAGCAGCAGGCGCTCTCTTGCAGCAGGAAGCAGAACACGTAGAGCAGGAACAGGATGCTAACGCCGTACAGATACGTGAAGAATCCCTCGTAGTAGTAGAGTGGCAGCTTGTGCGTGACCACCTCGCTTATCACGTAAGCGATGCACACCACCACCAGCAGCTTCGCGTAGATGAAGCTCATGATAATGAACAGCGAGGTCCTGCAAGACAGAAAGAAAATCGGGAACTCGATTTTATATTCCCCAACGGCAACGCGGGTCATACGCCATCGTTGTTGCGTCTCTGCAACGATCGAGACCGCAGTTCTTCAGTCTCACCGTTTCTTACGGACTATTTGCACCCTACTCTCGTGTCTCGCAGCACCCCCGAGTCTGTTTACGTTGTTGTTTTCCATACACGGCACAATTTCCACTTCCATCGCGAATTTCTCTTCCTACTTCATCGTCCAGTATCCCAAACGGTATTTACACTCGCGTAATGAACCACGTTGATCTCGGCTTGTTAGCCAGCTTGGACTGCTGCGTGGAGGACCACGGCCGATCCACTGGCATGCTATTTTCGATCTCGAACAGGCAGTTTCACCGCGAGCACCGAACTCGTCGATCTTTCACAGCCTCTTCCAGTACTCCCCTGTCTTCTCTCTCTCTCTCTCTCTCTCTCTTCTTCTCGGTTCGACTGGTCGCTAATTTTAATTGTCCGCTATCCGGGATCACTCGTCCATCTCCGATCACGCGCGTCCTCCGCGTCAGACCTGAGGAAGCACAGCGGCGCGAGCTCGGCTCTTGGCTGCACCTAGAGCTCTCGCGCTTCTGCACCGCGTTCGTCAGCCGTGGCGGCGTTCTTTTCTCGTTAAAGGTTAGGTCGCGAGATCGATAATTTGCGTACGCGAAGCGGAGAGTGCGTCGTTGGCCGATCTCGGCGCGGAAATTAATCGCGCGAAACCGGATTCGTTTCCTCGGTCCCTTCGCTCGTCCGATCACGGCGCGGATGACGCACGCGTGCACGTAACGATGGAAATAACAAACGGAGAAACGTGGAGAAAAGGCGAAGCGATATCGCGGAATCGGCGGAGCGTCTGTGGCGCGATTGCAACGCGACGCGACGTCTGCACGGGAATATCAGGGGCTCAGCAACGTATGGTGCATCTTCGCGAAGGAGGGCTTAACCACCCTTTGTCACGCTGGCATTTCAGGGGTTGGGGCGCAGACTTTATTGTGTTCCGCACGAGCCTGTACACTCGTGTCAGGCATTTTTTTTCTTTGCTCTTCGATGATTATCGCGGGCCGGATAAAGGATCGTGATATTTAGCCAGGCACATCCAGCCTCCGTTTTATTTTCTACTCGACTCGTAACCCGATGATATTTCCGCCATCGACCACGCTCCGGCTACCCACGCGATTTTTCCGTCGCGATTACCTCGCAGCTTACGTAACCGGTGAATCTTTCGCATTTTTCACGGTTAAACGAGCGGAGAGCTCGTATCGCTAACGAGGCTCGTCGATACTTCCGTCGGAGTTTTAGAGTAATAACGCGTTTCAATTGCAATTTCATTTCCCCGTAACGAATCGTGGGGGCGACTGTACGAGTGCTCTATACCGAATTTCAGTTGCTTCGATGTATAATATAACGAGGTAAAACGAGTGGCAACTTTTAGCGGTAAAACACAGTGTGTGCACGTTTTTCGCAATCACCGAGGAATCGAAGATACTAGCCTCCCGTTATTTTATCTTTCTCCTGGTAGATCGGCAGGATCCACAAGGGTAGTATTCATCGCGTAGGCAGAAATTTTTGCGCAGAATCGGGGAGCACGGTCGTTTCTTATTCCAGCGTCGAGTGCCTGCGAGCTGCTATAAGAAAGCGGCGACACACGCGAGGCAGAAATAGTTTCGTGGTTCTCCCATAAACCGTGCGTCTACTTGCTCCGCGAGTTTTCCACGCTTTTAACGTCGCCTGGTATTATCGCGAAAATTCCGGTAACTTTACACGCCGAGCGCGTATTTTCCCGCTGCGGGGCGAGGGGATGCCTCGAGGGATGAAAGTTTTCCGAAGTTTTCGCGGCGATAGGAGACAGAACGGAGGAGAGAGAGAGAGAGAGAGGGGGAAAGAGAGAGAAGAGAAGCGGCGTATCCCACGGTATGGCCTTTTTTCCACTCGTGGAGAAGAAAAGCGGCGAGAAGTGGAAACAGCGGCGGATAGGAGTGACTCGGAGCGAAGCAGGCTGTGGCACACGGTCGATATTTCGAAGTACCTACTTTCAGCCGCTGGTCTTTCTCTCTGTACCTCACCCTCTCGACTCACCCTCGCCTCATCTGTGTCCTCTCCACGAATTTCGCTCTCCCCTTCGCGTTCAATCACGCTCGTATTCTTTTCCACCAGTCGTTTATGCTCGCGCTGCGTCGTTCTCGCCTGCTCCCGGTCAGACCCGTTGCCGTTTCGCCTTCCATTCCACGGGATATACCCCTTTTCACCCTCTTTGCCCCCGTTCGCCCGCCCCCCTTCGCCCCTGCGCGTCCGTCTCGCTTTTAAAAGGTACCTTAATTTCGATCCTATTTTAACCGCGGACCATTTTAGCCCGCGTTTCGTACCCGTCGTTGATTTACGGCAACGTTTTCGCGTTATTTTCGGCCACGGGGATTGTTTTGCGAGCGTTTCGCGATGCTCGTGTTGCCGGCGCGGAGGTATGTGCAGTCACGTTCACGGGGCCGGTAATACTGTCCTGTCTCAGCGTCTAGACCGGCGGAGCTTCGCTTTCAGCCCGTGTTAATGCAATTGCGACTGCGACTGTGTAATTCGAGAAGGTATTGCTCGGCCGTGCTCCGTGTATACATCGTCGTATCACTGTCATGCTTTGCCACTCGATCGATATTAATAAATTATAAATCCCGGCGAAACTAGTTCGCGCCATCGTCGATCGGCTGATCGATGCTTCTTCTTCTTTCCTCCCCATTCTTTTCCGTTCTTCTTCATTTTTTCCCTTTTTTCCCCTTTTTCTCTTTATCACACCGAGAGTGTACACGGTTGACGTGTGACGATCCAGGCCGAATAGACCGGTCCTCCCGTTGCCTCTTTTCACGATTCCCCGACGAGGAGAACGCGCGACCGAGCGCTCCCTCGACTCCCGTTTCACGCTCGACGCGCGTTCATCAATTTGCATGAAAAAAAGGTGTCGTCGCGTTCCAGGGTTAATGCTCGACGGCCTGCCTCTCCACCCGTGGCCTGGCTCGATATATCGAAGATAAACCGCACACGCATACCGTCCCTCCTCGAAATACGTTCGCGCTCCACTTCCTCGATTCTTTCTCGAGAATGATTTCCATTCGTTCGTGGCCGCAACCTCGGTCGGTTAGTTGCTTCTTTCAGCCTGGGGTAGTAGGCGGTGTACGTGCGCGAGTGCATAACTCGGGGCCGCGTATAATGCACGCTAGACGCAAGACGCTTCATAGGCAGCAGCGCGACAGCTAACGAAGTGCGTCGTAAATAGACACGCAGACGAAAGCTTCCACCTCTTGCCGCCATTTCGAGTCGAACGCACAGAGTGTCCCGTAATGAATGGCACGGCCGAGGAAGCCGCGACTTTGCGCGAGAAAAATTCATCCTGCACTCGTCGACTATTTCTCCCGGTATGGAGACTGCACGGGGAGATTCTTCGTCTCCGCGACAAATTCCAGAGAAAAACACTGGAAGATTTATTCTTCCGAGAATTACGCGAGATTTAACGAAATTTACTCCACGTTCTATGATAAAGGACGAAGAAAATCCACTTTTGCCGGAACGCGGATAGAGACGCTTCGTTTTTATTGCAAATGCGAGAGGAAGAAGCGAGAAAGAGGGACGGAAAGATTTATTTTGCCAAGGTGTAATTTGTTGGGATGCTAGAGACACAAGTCGAGACATCTTACATGTAACCTCGATGTTAAAAAATGTTCTTTGATCACGTACCGATGATTGTGTGCGTGTCGGTCGGTCATCTGCCGAATTTTTCTGTTCGAGCGACTCACTCTCTATTGAGTCGTTGAAACGCACACACCGATCGAGTCATCTATTATTAAAGTGTTTCTTTTTGTAATAAGTGTTCCTTTCTTTTAACTCCACTGCCATCCCAAATTCTGTCGTAATTAATCCAGATTTAACCAGATGGCGAAATTTGTTATTCCATGTGCCGTGACGAATCGTCGGGTACTTTTGCCAGTGGGTGGATAGAGTTCTTTTCAATGGTAAACGGAGGATTTATTTTTCCGAGATAAATTAAGCGAGATTTAATTTATTCGACGTGCTCGGCCCATCGCGATTGCATCGTTCGTTATACGAGGCTCCTTATTCTTCTCTCGTTGCGCCCATTCATGCGGCCGCACGTTCATTCGATCAGTCCTCGTCTCTTTTCTTTCCCCTCTAATCGTGGGCGTTTGAAAAGCGTCAACCCGTGGGATAAATGCGATCCGCTTGGCTGGAAGAAAGGCCTGGAATCGGTCGCGAATGGAAATCGTTACGCGCGTCTGGTTGGGCGTGCAAGTCCGGAAGCAGCCTGCCAGGAGCCTGGGTCGTTCGGGATCCGCGGTGCACGCGTTGCATGCTCGTGCTTCCGGATCATGATTTCCGCGATGGACGCGCATCCCGACGTCGAGAGACGTTCGGCCCGGTATTCGTCCACGCGTTATCGAAATTCCGCAACGGACGGTCGAACGTACCCGTCGGGGACGCGATTATTCCGCCATGCTCGACGACTCGCCGACGAGAGGAGCTGACCACGAGCACCGAGTATCGGGGAAATCGCTTTATCGAGGCGAATTCGCCCGGTGGAATTTTTCGGCACAAAGCTCGACCTAGTTACTCGACGTTTGTCGCTTTATTCCGGCTGTTTCCCTTGGTTCCAGCCTCGCCTCGTTTGTCCAGGGGTAATTAAAGCGGGCGCGTAACAAAGAATCGAAACGCGGAATAAGCGAGGATTGCCGGAGTGGTCGGACCTGGTGCTCCTAAATAATTACCATTCGTTAGCGTGCAGATTACGGTAGTTCCGGTCAAGTGGATTCTTGACCTAGTCCCGTTCCTCCGGCGTAATTGCGCCGCGGAAAAGCATAACGTTCGACTAATCCCTCGTTAAAACGCGCGGAAGGCCGGTGTTCATGCTCCGGCCGGTTGCTAATGGCGCGGATTGCGCGGCTTTTAAATGAAAAGCGGGTCGACCGAGAGGACGCGACGGGCGGGACGAGTGAAAAAGAAAAGAAAATTGCGAAACGCAAGGGAAAAAAGGCATCCCTGTTTCTTCAGATGATTTTTATGTATGTATGTATTTTTTTTTTTTGGTCTTTTTTGTTTTTTTTTTTTTTTTTTTTTTTTGTTTTGTGGTTTCTACATCTACGGCCGGTCTTACTTTTTCGCTGGGGTCGAGCGCACGTTCTTCAGCTCCATCTCTTTGTTCGCCGCGTTGTTCTTCTCGGCGTTGTCCTGCGCGTTTGGCGACGAGTTTTGCGGATTCAGACATCTGGTCACCGGAAGCGTCGCCGTGTTGTCCGCAGCGGCTGCCTCCACGTCCACAGTGGCGACCTTGCAATCACCACCACCCACCATCGCGGTTCTCTTCTCCCCTCGCAATGGACCCTAACGATCGGCAAAAGACACGACTGGATCTCACCGGGAAAATATCACGATTTCCTATCGAGATCCAAACGCGGGATTCCCACTCCGACCGAACCTCGATTACGCCAACGGCGCCATTTTGGCGAACACCTACGGCACCGTTTCCGAAGTTTTCACGGGATCTCTCAAAGGGAAAGCCTGCCCCTTTTAGCGTAGAGATTCTGCCACGCTCGTTCCCTCTGCCGAAGGCAACGAACGATGAGAGGAATCGGACCGAGTCGAGCGAAGAGAGGTCGATCGGGGCGCGTCGCGATGGAGAGTCGACTCGGAAGACGGGTTCGGAGGCACCATTTCCGAAAAGGAGGGCAGCAGGCGCGAGTCAAAAACTCTCTCCCTCTCTCTCTCTCTCTCTCTCACTCCCTCTCTCTCTCACTCTCTCTCTCTCTC